AAAAACGAGATTTGGTATGTTAATATTCGATATAAATTAGGATTGATTGACGGTGTTCAATTGTTTTCGGCCACTTCCTGTTTCGCCGGAAATGACTACAACTTTTGATTTTTAAATGACACCTTTGGTATTTTTTTACTTTATTCGATAGAAAATTACATTCTGAATAGAATAGCACTATCATATTATGTCAACTTTTAACATTCCCGCTTTAACAAAAACGTATTTTAAATTTCGATCTAGAGTGTCATGGCTGTGTTAAAACACTAATTAGTAATCGAGGAGCCTTGGAAAAATAAATTTGATCGTCTAATGTTTTTCGTGTCTTGTCCTGGCCTGGGTGAAAGATGCCTAAATCGTATTTTTAAACATACCTAACTTATTTTTTTCAAACGAAACGTGAGTGGCTCATTGGCATATTGGGAAAGAGCATTTTTTACAAATAATTTGGTTGTTGAACCACACTTGATATTTCGAATCAAATTTTCCTTACATTTATGGTCAAGGCACACTGAATTAAAATTTAAAATGCTATTTTTTTAATTGAAAATGGCAAAAGTTAACAGATGCTATGTCATTCTATTTAGAATTCTATCAAATGAAGTAAAAAGATACCAAGGGTGTCATTTAAAAATTTGTAGTCATTTCCGGTGGAACAGGAAGCGATCGAAATAAATTGAATACGTCCATCAATACTAATTTATGGCAAATTCTAACATACCAAATCTCGTTTTTTATCTGAAAAAATTAAAAAGTTATAGGGGTGAGCCACTTTTGAGACGCATCCGGTATTTTCTACTAATTAATAATAGGAGTAACTACTAATTAATAATAGGAGACTAATATTGTAAGAGTAAAAATGACAGAAAGTCATTTTCACTCCGAATAGAACGTGCTATTTTTTTAAAACGCCACAAATAAATTTTTAAACCATTTCAAACGTTCCCAATAATCTAAAAAGATACCTTGCATGTAATTATATATCGAGAAACTATAGTTACGCTCGTTGAATTTGACACTTTATGTCAGTTCAATAATATATTTTTGTACTTTTGTGCTTAAGCGTAAAAGTGCTTTACTTTTATGCCCAGTAGTGGAGTGCTTTAAGCCTTTATGGGATACAAACCTCGGAATTCATTTACTGTGAACGAATTTTTATAAAAAATTTTGCATTGTATTGTTAATAAGATATATTACAAAGCTTACCCATTTAAATTCGTTGCTTTCACTTTAGTATTTAAATAAACCAAGGTAGTCCAAGTGAGATCTAACATAGGCCTTGTAAAAGTTTAGCACCCTCTCACAATGCTAAACTTTTACAAGGCCTATGTTAGATCTCACTTGGACTACGGGAGCTTAATTTTACTAAAATGTACAAAGAACACGTTGGCTAAACTAGATAGGGTTCAATTTCAGGGTTTAAGGGTTTGTTTAGGCTTAATGCGGAGCTCTCCCACCAATATAATTCTCTCAGAGGCAGCAGAATGCCCTCTGGACATAAGACGCAATTTTTTGGCGACAAAATTTTTATTAAAATCATTTTCTTCACACGAGAATCCAGTAATAAATGAAGTTTCAAGGGCATATGGGGCCTATAATCAGACCTATCATTTCTGGTCTAAATATCATACACCTCCTCTAATAAAAGCCATTGATCAAATATTTCCCCTAGTTCAGGATATTGATGTGGAAAATACTCATCACTTCTATGAGAATGATCTGTTCTTTAGCAAAAAAAAGTTTGTGAAGTTGAAACTTGAGAAACACGTAAATAATAAAATTAAATTTAATGAAATAATATCACAGCATTATGGAAATAAAACTAAAATCTACACAGATGCCTCAAAGGAGGTAAATAAGGGAGTGGGTATCGGTTTGTTTTCTGCAGATTTGAAAATGGAATCAACCTTCATGATCTCTAATCACGCCTCAATATACACAGGTGAAATGTTAGCTATCATGAAGGCACTAGAAGTTATAAAATCAACCAATTCTCATAATTCAGTCATATTCAGTGATAGTCAGAGTGCTCTTACGGCTTTAAACAGTCGACCATCTTTCAAAGATACACATATTACTTTCTTGGTTAAGCAAAAGTTGATGAATTTGGAAAGATTAGATTATTCCATTTCACTAGTATGGTTACCAAGCCATACCTGTATATACGGTAACGACAGAGCTGATTCATTAGCAAATATAGGAAGAACGAACGGTCAGAGTATTCAGTTCAAATGCTGGCATAGCGATTTCATCCCGGAGTTTTGAAATTTTTTTTGTTTCCAAAAGTTTTGGAATGTATGGAAGGATAGATGGAAGGAGGTTTCTAGGGTCAAGGGAAGACTGTATTCAGAACTCGTGCCATGTCCATACAAAAATCCTTGGTTCAAGGAATTCCCACAGCTTACAAGGAGAAAAATAAGTTCATTTATCAGATCAAGAAGCGGACACTGTATGGTCCCAGTACATCTTCACAGGATAGGAGCAAAAGAAAACAAATTTTGTGAATGCGGAGAGATTGGTACATTGAATCATATTTTCTTTGAATGCAACAGATTTATGGCACAATCCTCAGTATTGTATAATTCACTTACTATACATTTTGGCTTTGCTCCTCATAACATTTCTTCAGTCATGCATGTTCATCCAACCATTTTGTTTGCTTTTGCTAAGTTTTTAGAAGATTCTGGTATTAAGTCATAAAGAAATGATCTCTAATAGATAACATTCTGTTTACAGTCGATTTCCTGATTAGTCATTAACCATCCCAAAAAAACGAACGAGGAATGGGCCCGCCCAGACTTGCTTAACGCAATCCTCGTTTGCTTTCAGACCACTCAACTAAGGATAGATATTCTATCACCCGGCCGGATAGTCCTGGAGCTGTGGTCGTAAAACAAAACTACTACTACTATTTAAATAAACACACATATATCGTATGATCGAAAAAAATGGCGTCCAGTTGGCTGGGAAATGACGATCGATGACATTTCCCATATAAATTTACATATAAATTGACAGCGATCTTCATTTCATAGCCATCGCTGACGCCGTTTTTTCTCGATCATACGGTACAAATGCATACATACAAGATGGCTCCGTATCCTGGAAAAGCTCTGTATCAGTATTCCTATTTGAGATTTTAACTCCAAACCTTTTACAAAATATGTGTTTAATGGTAGTTCACATTTCAAAAATATTTTTATAGATATACAGGGTGAGTCAAATATTTCTTTAGTTCAGTGAATTTGCTATAAAATTCCGGTTTCATACCATAGAATATACTAAGTGGTTTTTGAATTATGACCACGTCCACGAGAACGTCAATCTAGACGTCCAGGAACCTTCGTATGAGACTTTCTAATCGAGACGATCGACTTATTGTAAGTTTATCACTAAGAAACCGCCGTTTTTCAGCTTTTCAAATAGATAATGAATTGCACTTAAGGAACGTACATATTAACTAACGGACTATAAGAAGAATATTAAATGACGCAAATCTTATGTCAAGAAGGCCTGCTTCTGCTGTTAGAACACTAGATATGTTGACTAGGCCCAAAAGCAAAGGCATGGGTGGCATGGTCTTAATGTAAAAATTACGAAAATATGTTAGTATCTTCTTCAAAAGCGAATACCTATTTCTAACAAAAATAAAGCTAATGAGGTGAACCAAAAAACAAACCATGGAGAAACGATGTATCTAGATGATAAAATTATTTTTAAATTTCCTGCTGTTTTAAAATATTCCACAGGGTGTTTCAAACTTTCACCAAAATATCAACATTCTGTTTTTCCTCGTATAATTAACAGATGGGGAGTTTCATTATTAATTTATAAAAAGATACCAAAAAGTCAAATAATTTGGCTACACACTGCTTAAAAAATCATCAAAATCGGCCCATTAAAACAAAATATATTAACCTTTAAAATACACAAAGTTTTAAGGTGCCCATTTTTCGTGCCGGGGAATGTATTTCAAAAACTATACATTTTAGTCATATACTTTTCTAATGAAACATAACTTTGATGTGTAACTTTTTTTGGGGACACCCTGTGGAACTCTACATAATTTTAGAAAATGCTTTAAATTGACTTACATAAGCTCACGAAATTTCACTTCAATACAAACTTTTGTTCTCTTTGCAAAAACCGCGTCGTATATGATGCGCCACCCTGTATAATTCGATTTCAAGCAAAATTTCAATGATTAGAATATAAGCAAAATAGGTATAGCTTATGCATTAGATTTATTTATTTCAATAAATTTACTTAGAAAAAGAATTAAAAAACTCAACAAATTAAGAAGGAAATAATAAGAATTTACTAAAATAAAAAATTAAAGGCAACGAAAAAAATGGGTAAACATTTTAGTATTTTATCTATAAAACACAATACAGAAGGTTTTGCATCAATACATTCACAGTAATTGAATCCCGAGGTAAAAGTCTCTGGGCACACCACTATAGACGTTAAAATGGGTTTTTTATATTGTCAATCACGTCGCAAAAATTAGTACTTTTGTGACGTTTGAAAAAAAAATATGTTATTCTTACGTGCACTGTTTAGGTTTACTTAGTAATCGGTGCCGTGCAATTGCCGGTAAGTATTTATAATTATTAAATAAAATAAAGATGTCTAATATTGATACTAACAATTCGTAACAAATTTAAAGTTTACAGTTGGAGGGTTGAAACCTTTGGTATTAAAACAGCAAAATAAAAAAATAATTCACCACAATACACCAAAACACTATACAGACGTATTTCAATTTTAAATGTTTCCAGTAAAATACAAAGTTGTAGCTATAGCTCTTGGTCTAACAGTATTTTAAAAAGTTAGTAAATGTAGTAATATTAAATAAAAAATAATAATCTACAACATGAATTTAATAAAATAAAACTGTATAATTATTGTTACAATAACAACAAATGCTTGATGTATATCAAAACATACACCCCCCACCCACCCCCTATACAAACATCATTAATTTATTTTCCACTTACATTATTAGGTCTTTAACCAATCCTAATTCACTCCGATCACTTTTGAGGTTACTTCACCCACCTACTCGGGCATAGTTATCGAACGTACAATATCACACGGCCGTACACTAACCTATAAACCGATCCGGTGAACACTGGACCCGAAGGAAGGACACAACGTGCGAGAAAATTGGAAAATCGTCGTTGGATAAAAATAAAACCGTTCGCTAGGTGGGAAACGTGGAGATCCTGAGTAGATCTCGTACTGAAAACGCGTGTATACGTACGTGTATGTGTTTTAGTGATATTGCTGTTGGAGTGGGTGATTCGGTTTGTTTGGGTTATCGAGATATATACAAGATTTTAATTGGGTTTGGATTGCAACGGGTTATATGACTTGTCTGGAGAGCAACTATATTACTGTGGCCAAAGTTTAAAATTATAATGGCCAGGGCATTAAAAGTTTTTTTTTGGATTTTTTTTAGTTCATATCAACATATATTTCATAGCAATTAAACTTTTAGTTACGTAATCGGGGGCGCGATTTATAAATTCACTATTGCCAACCATGGACATATTTGGCGTTGTGCTGACTAACTGGAATTTAAATTTCGCGCTGGGGATTCAGGTGGTAGTTCTGCTGTAAAAAATGAGAATGTTGGCTTTTATTTATTCATTTCCTGACATTGTCATACGTTGTGACACTTCAGTATTGTATTTTGAGTTTTTGGTCTAAATAAATAGTGTTGTGTTAATACTTTAAGCTTGAAAATGTTTACTAGCATACCTTGAAGTCGAACATTGTTCTTTTTAGAACCGCTTCCAGTGCGAAGCACAGAATATACTAACGAAAAAGAAGCCCAAGTTCCTTGTAATAAATCGGTTCCATTTTCGTAACGCCATCTCTCGACAAAGCTGACATTTACAGGTTAGCCAAGGGGGTGCGGGGCCGGGGGAATTGTAAAATACACTTTTTTATTTTAATTACTTTTATTCGCTATTTGCAATTTTATTTTTAAAACATATTATCTGAAACAATCACATAATATGTTTTAAAAATAAAATTACAAACGGAAACAAAAGGAATTAAATAATCTGAAAATCTACAAAGTTTATTGATAAAAAAGTTAGGCTATGCAAATTGATATATTAAGTATAACCTCTTTGGTATAACATTGTTATAAACAAACATTAACAAATCATAACATATCAGATCATAGAACTAAAAAAAGTACTATTACATAAAAACAGGTGATACAATACTTCAAAATTAATTTTAACATAATATCAAAACCGAAAAATCAAACTGCAAACACAACCACACTTATCACAACAGAAATTAACACACACTTCCGCGGCAACTGTCCAAGAAAGACTGATCATTCTGATTGGTCCTGGTCCGGTCGTAGCTCACGTCGTATTGTCGGTAAGCAAAATGGACGTCGGGACAACGTTGTGTCACGCGACCAAACGTCGTGGCGCAACGTCGGCACAACCTCGTGCCAGCCCTAGTCTGCACTAGTTTGGAGAATAATTTTTGGGTCGAAACGACGTTGGATACCTACGTTGGCTAGCAGCCTAATTCAGTACAAACTGCAACGTTGTTTAAAATCCCAATTCACAGAAATACAAAACTATAATAATATGGCGTCTAAGTCGCGTTTTATGCTAAACTGGGATAATTATAGTAAAAATAGTATTTTTATGATTTAGTTAGAGACATACGCCAGATGGCAGGAAAGGAAAACAAAACAAAAGTATTAAAGTGTGGAGGATGTTTGAAGATCATATAATTATTGAAACACTTTAATCAACTCTGTAACTCGTTACCCAAGGCAAAAAAGATAAACGCAAACAACGTTATTGATAAATGTATTGCTTCTACATTGAAAAATACTAATGGGCCTTAAAATTAAAGAAGTTTTAAAAAATTTCTTGAATTTTTTTTTTAGTAAAATGAGAATAATTCATTCGCAGTCGAAAAAAAAATTGTTTCCGCGTATTGTTTAGGGTCAAATATTTCAAGTTAATGTATTCAAAAAGCAGGAGTTGCTATTTTAGGAACGAAACATTTTCTTATTCAACAACATGGCGGCTTTCACTTTGTTGTTTTGGAGATTAAAATGGAGTAGTTCGAGTAGTCGCATACTGGACTAATAAAGTCTGAGTTCAGCCTTAACAGGTAGTATACTAGTCGCAAAATTGCCTAATATAGTCATCCTAGAGTCTAGCTTGTGCCGCCCTCTATATTCTAAATAAACGAGGGAGTGGATAAAGTATCGGTAATATGTCGATGTATATTTAAATTTAGCTTTATATGTGCCTTTCTTACGTCTCATTTTAATTAAGTTTTTTTTATAAAAATAAAAACAGCACTGAACTGTCTGACTGAACAGAACAATGAAGTGAAAATTTAAGACTTAAGGTTATGGTTCAATACAGTTCCAAAAAGGTAGTAGCTCGACGTCCTACCAACGTAAGAATAAAGAAATCTAAACAACGTTGGATTTAGTAAAACAGACGACGTTTGCATAACGTTGGAATAAGTCCTGAAAGTGATGTCGGAAAACTCTTTATTGCCCAACATTGTAACTACGTTGTCCGAATCACCTAAAGATCACTTAAGCAAAAAAGGTTACAAGACAACGTTTATTCGACGTCGCAGAAGCGTTCATTTTGTTGTAGTACTAGCAAAGAGTAGATAAGACAAGAGACGACAGTTCGCTCGGTACCTTTCATGTTTGAGTGATGGGGAGAGTGACCTCGTCTCGCTTGTCCCTTTAAATTTTCGTAATTTTTTCGCGGGAAATTTGAAATAGACTATTATTAAAACTTGCCTGTATAGCTTATAAATAGTTACTGTATGGGTAAAGAAATAAATACAAACGAAAAAAAAATGAGTTTTCTAAATATTATATAAAATAAATTATAATTAGAAACATATTTGTCGGGGAATAAAAATAATAAAAGCAATATTTTGTATATCGTTGGTAAACAAGATAAAGTGATCAAGTCGATTTGTAAGAAATGTTTTATTTACGTGTATTTTTTTTACATATAGACTTGAACAAGTGTAATATCTCAATGTGGAGTTTATGTAAAAAAAAATATTTGCACAATTTTTTTTGTAAAAATATATTACAAGCTTCTAACCATGTCTTCGATCTATGGATTACATTTAGTTTAATAACATAATTATATAGTATATTTCTATAAAAATACTTTTCAGGATCCTTTGGAAAAGAGTGAAATATTATGTTTGTCGAAGAATAAGACAGTCGAAGAATTTTGCAGTCTTTATAAGCACACACATTGCCACCACCTCGTCTTTTCCTGCTACTCGTGTCCTGTTCAGTATTCATATTTAACAATAATTACAATTTAGTACACAACAAAAACGATACTAAAATTAAACCTTAAAAACTCTCAAAACGCGATATTATATCGAAAAACTCTGAAAACACACTTTAAAAAGGCAAAAATGCAAGAAAACTACTAATCAGATTTGTTTATGTTTAAGCCTGATTAGCACAGCTGATTAGCGTCCTAAAATGATAGGTTAGAATTAATAAAATACGCCGTTGTCAGATTCTCAGATTTTATCTGTTTATCTTTGAAATCGATCAACTTAGTTAGTCATTCTGTTTCTTTGATATTATCAGTACATTGCGAAAAAAGAACCTAAACCAACCTAAACTAAAAATTTACATTTCCGTATTAACATACGTTACTTATATCCTTCTTATATTATTAATTTATTTTCAGAAAATCTTGTTTATTTTTCAAAGAAATATACTTGGCAACAGACAAAATGGGACTTGATGGGACCTTTAAATTTTAATATATCTGCGTCTCTCTCGCGAAATTCGACTTCTTTGTTCACTGTCGTCTCTTGTCTTATCTACTCTTTGGTACTAGTTCAACGTCGGCACAACGTTACAACAACGTTTACATTTATTTTAATACTCAAGGTACGGAGCTTGCTATTTTTTGTAACTAATCCAACGTTGTGTTTAGTAAACATGTGGTCGCGAAAATGCTACTTGGGTAGAATATTTTGAACGGGAAAGCATTTTGTTGACGTAAATAATTACTGTTTATATATTTATAATTAATTTATGTTTGTTCCTTAAAATCTTAACGTTTTTAGTTCGTTACATGTCTTTTTTATATATAATATATGATGTCTGGCCTATCATCACCGGATTCCCTCTCATTCAGGCCGGATCGTTTATTTGACGCGCTTGGCGTAATTTTTACGTTCTCTAGTCGGCAACCCTGCTATCGTTTCACTGTTCTGTGGAGCGCTGTCAACATCGCTTCAAGGCGCCTCTCCGTGCTTAACTTCACTTGGCTTTGACCGTCCTACTGTCACCGTCAAAAAGTCCTTGCTTCGAGAAACTGCAATTATAAAAATCTTGCTGTATAATTTGAATCAGCTGCTATTTCGAAGTTACAGGTAAAAATGAGATATTATTCGTTATTATTACTGCGTATTTTTAGGATAGAGTTACGGATGCCCCAACCTAACTTGTATTTGTATTTTGCTGGCACGTTGGCGTCCCTTTTCTTTTGTCCTCCAGAATGGCACATGGAAGAAAGGACAGGTTCTTTATTATTTAGTGAGCCCTCGAAAGTAATTCGAGGTAGGTTCATTTTGTTTATTAGACCTTGTTTGATTTTAAAAAAGAGTTTGGTATTTTTAGGGTCTTATGGACGGACTGTGTCCAAGGTTATGGTCTAAGGTTATGGTCCAAGTTACGGACATTATCCAAGGTCCTAGTAGTGTTCCAAGGTACGGGTAGTGTCCCCATATTGCCACAGTATGGATACAGCGTAAGCCCCATGCTGCTTCGCTCCCATTTCTAAGCCTAGTCAGTAGCTACGGCTGTATTGATTCATGGTGTCCTCATTCTGGCCCCTTTTGTTGTTTTGGCCAACAGGATCGCCGACAGACAGTACAGAGATATAAGCCCACTTCACGCTGCTACTCTTTGAAACAGGATTGCCTCAAGAACAGCTAAGTGTAGATTTAGGTTCTGGTTTTCAGTCGATTTTCAGTCTTAACTTAACGTACATTTTAAATAATATCGTACAGACTATATTTAGTGGTTAGATTATTAAGAACATTTATGTCGATTTAGTTGTTACAATATGATTTAAATTTTAGGTTTCATTACATTACGCCTTGTAATAAGTATTACCTTCTATAGATATTATTATTACGCTATATTAACAGATGAATAACCAGATATAGATTCTAGAATCTACAGGTTGCAACATATCAGATTTAACACCGCATAAAATTTAACAATTTAAATAAAGTAATGCTACCTTTCTTATATTTTCTATAACGTTACACGCATTGTATTTTTTCATAGTCTTTTCATAGAACATATTTAATATTATTTACATACATAGCTTTTACTCGACATATAACCACTATAATAATTATTAAAATTGTACAATGCTATTTACCATCAGGATACATCATGAATGAATATAGTCACTAGTTTTAAGTAATAAACAACTGTGTTTTCTTTCTCTGTTCATGCCTGGCGCCCAATATTTATAATTTCTAGTTATTATTGTTAATTAGTTCTTTCCAGTGAAATACCTTATCCACGACTGCTCTACCAACGAAAAGCTGCCGTTCACAGCTGCCGTTAATGTTTATAAAAAACGCTACAAAATATTTTGATTAAAAGAAAATATATAAAAGTGGGCCAACGCTGTGCCGGTCAAGCTTAAGCACGTGACTAAAAGTTTATTTGGTTTGAACTGTAAGTCCGATTCTGCTTTTTTTCGTAGGTACAATGAGTACATATTTAAAACTTTCGCAAGTTACGGATATGAAATGTTTTTAAAGGTTGCTTAGACTGGGATCAAAGCAAATTAATAAAATTGCCTTTATCTCATCAAGGAGGCCCAAATCGACAAAATATCAAGAGACAACCTTTTAATAGGCATTAAATGACTTGCACTATTTCGGTAACAAGAGAAAGAAATCAATGGCGTATATGCTTTTTTTAGAAAAATATTCCACTAATAACCCATATGCACGTCCCTGGTGAATATGTCGACACATTTTTAGCTTTAAAATATGTCGCATTTACAGTAACTTTTACCCTCAATATTTCATTAGAATGGCTAAAAGTACTTGGAAGAAAATTATAACAAATCGAGAAAAAAATTAAGATTTTAACACCGTATGTTTATATGAAAAATAAATCTTATTTTGAAGTGAGGAATCTCTCCACGAGAGATGGCACATGTTTTTTGAAACACCCTGTATTCAAAGGTCAATATGTTATAAACTATTTCAAAAACGTTTGATTTGTTGAAAAGTGCGAATTCTATAATTTAAATGCTACGATTGAAGTAATGAGTTTACAAACATTTCTGAATTGACGTTAATAGATATACATATACAGTTTATATATCTTAATAATAACAAACGATAATAGACACTAACTAAATAATCTCGTATATTTTTTTCCGCGTATTTATAGAAAATAGACAGATTGAACTTTGTAAATCAAAATAAATCAATTGGAATAACGCTCGAGTATCCCGAAATTCCATCGAATAACAAACTCTATTTGAATTATATCAAATGCGAGTTAGTTGTTCAAATAAACCGATTCGCATCGAGGCTGTCACATTTTTTTTTCGTCCATTTGAATATGAGAACGGCGGTAAATAAAGCGTTTCTGGTCGGTTTGAAACAACGATTAATAAATTGAAGCTCACAATTTGTCAACTTGTCAAAGTTGCAAATTATGTAGTTATATATCGCAACCGCGTAAAAAAATTCCAATAAACAGATTTTTTGATTTTAATATCGTTGATTGAAGAAATAAGATGTGCAACCTTAAGGTGCGTATTCATTATCCGAACGAACGAATGAAAGTGCGGTATATTTAGACGGGGACCGAACGCATGCGGCCGTTCGTTCGTTCGTTCGCTCGACCATCCGTTTCGAGTCGGTACATCAAAGGCGTTGGCCAACAAATGCCTCCGGTCTTCTCGTGCGGTCCTATCGTACGGTCCCCGTCCATACCACTAGCGAACATTCGTTCGTTCGTTCGGATAATGAATACGCACCTTTATAGGCGATTTCGTGGCAAGAAACCTGTCTGAGATGTAGCTCGCGTTACCGTCAGCCAGTCTGAAGGTGCGCATTCATTATCCGAACGAATGAACGAATGAAAGTGCGGTATATTTAGACGGGAACCGAACGCATGCGGCCGTTCGTTCGTTCGTTAGCTCGACCATCCGTTTCGAGTCGGTACATCAAAGGCGTTCGCCAACAAATGCGTCCGGTCTTCTCGTGCGGTTCTATCATACGGTCCCCGTCCATACCACTAGCGAACATTCGTTCGTTCGTTCGTTCGGATAATGAATACGAACCTTGAGAATTCCGATATGTAGTTTAGCTCTGCGCTGCTGCGCTGACCAAGTTTTATAATAATATCGCCATATTGTTTTTTCTCATGCTGATATAAATGTGAGAAAATTTTATCCAGTTTGTATGTTAATGGAAATTCTTGCTTTGCTTTATCATCACCATTACAAATGATTAATTCGACGCGAACGAAGTCGCTGGTACACGCTAGTAATTAATATATTAGTTATATTAGAGCACTTGGGACATGAGAACAAAAAATCTTCGGCGCGCATATTATTTAGATTAACGCTTAGAAAATATTTAAAAATAAAAATAGATATTCATGGCTTCGGACTGAACTCTCTTTATTAAGGGCTTCTCATTAACTTCGTCTACTTAGAAACACCAATCTACGTCGACAACTATTCAGCAGTAACATTATTTTGTTGCGAATTCTATTCTTTTTAGAAATTAAGGTGTCAATAAAACAATTAAAAAAGTAAAAAACCAATAAGTAAACCAATCAATAAAATTCACTTAGGGTAAACTAATTATACCGTGTTAGTCTTAAATAAGTGCAAATATTTTTAAGGGTAGTATATTTCGACCCCAGAAACCCGATTAAGAGGTTTTTTTGCCAAAAAAATTGAAAATTTTGAATTTTCTGAAAAAAAATTTGGATTTCTTTTAGTTAAAAAACATAATTTCTTGATAATATGGCAACATAGGTAGTAGATTAAATTTAAAAAAAATAGAAAAGATCCAGTGGTTTGTAAAATTTGGAAATTGTTTGGAAATTTTCAAAGTAAAATAACGGTAAAGAGAAAATAATATGTTTCTTTTAAATTCTTATAAGGCTTTAATATTAATGAACCTAAATCAAAATACTGTTTTCTGGGCTTAAATACAATTTTGTGTATATATTTTTTAAGCAGTTTTCTACTTCCAGAACTCATCATATTTTGAAATGTTTATAATAAATTAGTATTAATACTAGAGGTTGCTCATAAAAATATGAAAAATGGTATATCTTTTCCAAAGTTTAAGAAGTCAATTTTTAAATTTGGAAATCCCAATTCTGATTTATGTGAACATTATCCAACACTATTTACGTTAAATATCAACTAGCAAATAATATTTAAAATATAAACCTTAGTCGAAAATATCATATTTTCATTTTCAACCTCTTTGAGTCATATTTTCCACTCCACGTACACAAAACGTTCGATACCAGGAAGCTATGGATTGAATATAAACTAGGAAAGTTTTGTTCCAAAATATTCTTTATTTTTACGTTCCATTGGACAAGAAGGAAATAACAATTGCAAACAAGACAGTCTATTTACTAAAGTTAGAAAAATATCGGATTTTTTGATTATTTTTATATTTTTTAATCTTGAATGGCAAATAATAAAAATAGCGTTCTTCAACTCACATCGAGTCAATTTTAAGAAAATGCGAAAGGTCTTTATATAAATTTAAAAAAAGTAACAACACATACCGGGTGTTTCTCAAAAGTGGCACATCCATATAACTTTTCTATTTTTTTCAGATAAAAAACGAGATTTCGTATATGACGAAAATTGATAAATTCGATTAATTCATTAATTTTGGCGACTGCCTTGTTTCATGGAAAATACTACAACTTTTGATTTTTAAATGACACTCCCGGTATTTTTTACATCAATTGAGAGAAAATAGAATAATGTATCAACAATATATCAACTTTTGATATTTTCAATTAAAAAAATAACATTCTAAATTTCAACTTAGGGTGCCATAGCCATAAATGTATACATATAACGACAATTATTTAATTCGAAATATCAAGTATGCGGTATCAAATTCTTCGGACAAAAATGTAAACATGATAATGAGCTACTATCGCTCCGTTTGAAACAAATTAGTTATGTGATTGCTTCATCCACTTTACCGTAGATGGAGCTAAGAAGGCTTAGGTAGGGTATATATAAATAAACAAAATACGAGTAGCGAAAAAAGGGGCCAAAAAAACCACATATATGCTTATTCTCTGCATTAAGTTCATCAAACCGAAGGGAACAGACATTCGACGACCGGTTTCGGAGATTTTTCTCCATCGTCAGGCCGACTTTGCTGTAACCCTCAATCTGACCATCGAAAAGTAGAGAATAGCATTTGAGTACAAAACGTACTACTATGGCGAGAGTGCTAGACGCTCTACGCCATCTAGCGGCAGCTGTGACAATCACAGATCGTACCGCCAAAATTAAAACCAGCGGCCTGCTGGACAAACATGCTTGCTTCATCCACGTTACCGTAGATGGAGCTAAGAAGGCTTAGGTAGGGTATATGTAAATAAACGAAATACGAGTAGCGGAAAAAGGGGCCAAAAAACCCTACATATGTGCTTATTCTCTGCATTAAGTTCATCAGACCGAAGGGAACAGCCATTCGACGACCGGTTTCGGAGATTTTTCTCCATCGTCAGGCCGACTTTGCTGTAACCCTCGATCTGACCAACGAAAAGCAAAGAATAGCATTTGAGTACAAAACGTACTACTACGGCGAGAGTGCGTTATGAGAAATTGAAATGAATGAAATTAGTTATGATTAAAAATACGATTTGGGCATCTTTTAGCCAGTCAGGACAAGACACAAAAAGCATTAGACGATCAAAACTGTTTTTCCAAGGCTTCTTGATTAGAAATTATTGTTTTTAATACAGCCATGACATTCTAGGGTGCCATTTAAAAATCAAATAGTATTCATTTCAGGTGAAACAAAAAGTGACCGAAAACAGTTGAATACGGCATCAATCAATCTTGATTTATGTCATATACTAGGGTACCAAACCACGTTTATTTATCTAAAAAAAAATAAAAAAGTTATAGGGGTGAGCCACTTTTGATAAATTTAAGAATATATTTAAAAATTACATATTATGTATCTTAATATAAATAATCAATCTTCTTCTTCTGATTCCTCTGATTCTGATTTGATGATTCCCAATGTTTTTGCTACTCTCTTCACTTTGTAGATCACTTCCTCTTGGACAAGATTGAAACTCATTGCTAGCAATGATATTCCGAAGAGCAGATAGAGAGAACACAGTGCAATACTGACAGTTGCATGGTATCTAGAGAAGAGAAAAATTAATGTAAATAAATATTTTTACAATGAAGACTCTTCAAATTTGTGACTAAAAGAATGTTAAATAGATAATTTTAACATACTACAAAGATAATAGCGTTGATTCAAACAATTGGGAAGATACGCAACTTAATGAGCGAATTCGTGATAAGGCTGATTTGATTTCCCATTATGTCTCATGTGCTGTACAGTGGAGCCACTACTCGTCGTGCGACTATCGTATAAAACACTCAATTTCTCTAATTCTGCCAGCGAAGGAATATCGATGACGTTATGAAACTGCGACAGTGTTGCCATATTAAAATATGTAATATCTGTAATACGTTTGACGAAAATATCTTTAGATGAAAAATCCGCGTTTATGTATTGAAAATTTATTCGCGTTAAACATAGAATAAACAACAAAAATAAAAATTCTTTTATATATGAACTGAATACAGTTCCTGTCGTATGATCGAAAAAAGTCGTTTAGTTGGCTTGAAAATGACGATTATTGACATTTACCATAATATGAAATAACAGCGATCTTCATTTCCAAGCCAACTCGAATCGCCGTTCTTTTTTAATCGTATACTATTATATTAAATTGTTTAATCTGTAAAAATCCGTAAATCTACGCATTAATCCGTAGTTCTGGCAACACTGTCTCCGGCAACCACTCACTCTGTCGACTGAAAGCAGAACTACGGTACAGTAAGAATACTGTACCGTAGTACTGTAATACTGTACCGTTTACAGCACATAGGATAAAGAATTACCCTATGTGCTGTAAACGACTAACATCGCGCAGCGGCGCAGAGCTAAACTAAATCTCGGACAGGCTGACAGTAACGCCAGCTACATCTCAGACATGTTTTGTCCCAACGCTCATAAGGTTGCGCCTCTTCTTATTGCTTCAATCGACGATAATACGTAATTCTTGGGCACATCAATGGGTCTTATGAATAAAAGTTAAGCAAATACTTTTACTTAAATTTCTTGAAATAGACTTATACAATTTGTAAAGAACCAACAAAGATAGTTCTATAGAAAAAGCAATTGCTTCTCTTTATTCATCAGGCCCAATAAGTATTTTTCAATTGAGCTCTTTTTGACGAAAGAATTTTTATCTACAACCTCTCGGAATATGCTTTCAGGTGACATTAATTCAAGTGACTTGATCAATTCATATTGAACAAGGATCATTGATCGTGCAAACGCACCTTTAAAGTAATCGAGCACCAATGTAATAAAATATAAAATGCGAATTTCGAAATCCAAAGTAAGAAAATAGTTTGATAAGAAGTTTCGTACTTGTTTTGAGTTACTCCTTTCGCCGGCACCAAGTCTCCGAATCCGATCGTGGTGAGGGTGATGAAACAGAAATAAGCCGCATCCAGATAATCCCAGCCTTCCCAACTTTTAAACAGATAAGCTCCGGCTGCAATGTAATCAGAACTTTGCTCAGTTCAATAGAAAACCAACTATATTATTATCGTTATGCGTTGGAAAAAGAAAATGGGTTAGTTAATAGTCTTTTAGAGCGCCTTAAGAAGTTTATTGCGCAAGTTTTAACAAGTTAATTCTCAGTAATATCATACAATGTGTGTTATCTTAACTGCTTTATAAATGAGTATAACATTCCAAGACCAATGCTTAACATCTTGTTAAATGTTTGTATAAAACGATTCGGGTAAACAGAAATCACGTCTAGCTTCATTCAGAACCTCGCAATTAGTGGAATAAATTAGTGGTTTCGGTTACACTCATAGTTTTTAGTTTACGATCATTCACAATGTCTAAAACCACAATTAAAATTAATAGAATATCTTAGCAACAGCTTGCGGGAGTGAGGTGTATCCATAGAGAAAGAGTAATCTATACTAATATATAAAATCCTTAAGTGACTGACATACTGATTAATCACGATCCTGCTCAAACCACTCAACGTAAGAAGCTCAATTTTGGCATACAGGTTGATTCTAGGGCGTAGAGGTTCGATAAGAAGGGATTTTTCGAAATTCCAGTTCCAAGAGGGTGAAACCACCCCTCAAATATTACAATATTTTTTATTTAAAAAACGGTCAAGTGTCCGAAAAACGCTTAAACACGTATATTTTATTTTGTTTTTTACATATTTTAAGATTTTTTAAAAATATATACAGGGTGTTTCTAAAAATCTGGTCATTGATTAATCACGATCCTGCTTAAAGCGCTTGACGTAAAAAGCTGATTTTTGGAAAACAGATTGACTTTAGGGTGTAGAGGTTCAGTAAGAAAGGATTTTTCGAAACTCGAATTGTAAGGGGGTGAAACTATCCCTCAAATATTAAAATATATTTATTTAAAAATCGATGAGTTTTTCGGAAAAACTCTTAAACACGTATATTTTATTTTGTTGTTTTACATATTTTAAGATTTTTTATAAATTTATACAGGGTGTTTCATCAAATATGACCATTAAGTAATCACGATTCTGCTTAAACTACTTGACGTTTAAAGCTAATTTTTGGCAAACGGTTTGACTGTGGGGTGTAGAGGTTCGATAAGGAGGGGTTTCTCGAATCTCAAATTCGAAGAGGGTGAAAACGCCCCTCAAATATTACAATATTTGTTATTTTAAAAACGGTTAGTCTTTCGGGAAAACGCTTGGAAAAGCATAATTTATTTGGTTTTTTTACATATTTTGAAATTTTTTAAAAAATCATACACGGTGTTCCAAAAAGTTGAGTAATTTTTGCTTGACATAAAAACCTTATTTTTGGCAAACGGAGTTTTCGAAAGTCAAATTCCAACGAGATGAAACTTACCCCTCAAATATTACCAAGTTATATAATAATATCGCCACATTGTTTTTTCTCATGCTGACATAAATGTGAGAAAATTTTATCCATTTTTTATGTTAATGGAAATTCTTGCATTGCTTTATCATCACCATTACAAATGATTAATTCGACGCGAACGAAGTCGCTGGTACACGCTAGTAGCTTATAAAACAATAAACTTTTGATTTCTAACTACATTTTCTCTTGACAGATGGTAATCAAAAGCCAAAATGACATTCTTCCCAAATTTTGAAGATTAATTAGTGGAAAATTTAAAAGTTTGTTAACTTTTTCTACTAACTGAAAATTCATTATACTAATTTATACTTTTTAGTTTACGATCATTCACAATCCTTAAAAAAACACAATTAAAATTAATAGAATATCCTAGCAACAGCATTCGTTAGTCAGTTGTATCCATAAAGAAAGCCTAATATTGAGCTTATAAAACAATCAACTTTTGATTTCTAACCACAGTTTCTCTCGGCGGAAGATAACCAAAAGCCAAATTATCATTTCTCGCAAATGTTGAAGTATAATTAGTAGAAAAGTTAAAAGTTTGATAACTTTTTCTGCTAATTGAAAATGTCTACCAATAATTTTGACGTTCTGAATGCTTACATTGAAATTAAAGGAACAAACTCCTACGCTAATTGAAACCACTAATTTATTTCTATCTAATTGCGAGGTTCTGAATAATGCTTAAACGATAAAATTAACTAATTTTATTGTTTTTTTTTCATTAAATTCACCTGAAAAATCGACAACGGTAACTGACTACACTCACCGGCACGAAAAACGAGCACCTTAAATTTTGATGTATTTTAAAGTTTAACATATTTTGTTCTGGTGAACCGATTGTGATGATTTTTAAGCAATCTGTAACTAATTCATATGACTTTTTGGTGTATCTTTCTAAAGTATAAACGTAAGTTTCCATCTGACAATTATATGAGGTAAATAAAAATGGTGATATTTTGGTGATAGTTTTTTGGTGAATTTAAAAATCATTTTATCATCTAGGTACATTTTTCATCGATAGTTTGTTTTTTTAGTTTATCTCAATAGCTTTATTTTTTTAGAGATATTCGCTTTTGAAAAAGACAGTAACAGTAATCGATATAAATGTTATGGTAATAATATACAGGGTGTTTCAAACTTTCGCCAAAATAATATTTACAGTCGAGGTTACAAGAAGGGTCGGCATTCGAAAAAAAGTATTCAATTGAATAAACTCAAATCTCCTCTTACCCAGAATGTAGCTGATAACCAAAAGCACACAAAGCCAAATCGGTACAGGTTTTGACTTTTCACGGCCAACTGGTTCATAATAAGAGCCATAATCTTCATATTCGTCCGAATCTGGATCATCCAAATACTTATTTCGGTGTCCATAACCTAACGGTGTCATCATTTTTGGACTTGGATTTGCTGGAATAAGATTTCATCCAGGATAATAAAAAATTGATTGAAGAATTTAGTTATGGCTTACGTAAAGGTGATCTAGATCTCCTTGGTTTGATTTTCTTCCTGCTTCTTAGAGGTTCGTCAATTTCTTCTGGGTCTGATGAAGATTCTGGCGTATAGCTTCTGGGAGGTGCAAGATAATTGGATGTTTTGGGGACAGAAATTGCTCTTCGTCCTACAGAATAAATATCAGATTATCTAACAATTAAATATGCATAGCTGACCAAGTACACTTTGCAAAAATATCTGCGTTATGTAAATGAATTTGTAACTATATCAAAAAAAAACTTTTATATATAGATTAGTTTAAAGTGTAAATATTATTATGTAAAATTTCCAGTAACGCAGACCTTTTAGCTTACTCTATACAGAGTGTAAAAAATAGTGCACCAAACTTCAGTGGGTGATATTTCAAATAAAAACAAAAGACAAATTTCCTATGAACATATGCATAAAGGAGCTTCCTGATGAACAGAATCTGTGAATCCTACAGCCCAGGCCCTGTAAATTTTAGAACATATCTAGTAAGTAACTACATTGCTATTAGTTTTAATAGACTCCATTCAAATTTCTACTACATACCAATCAAAAATTTTCTTAAATATCTTAATTTGGCTAAACTAACCTAACCTAATCGACAACGTTATTCGCTTTGTCATTAAAAAATGTGTGTAAAAATACCAAATTTCAAAACCAAGGAATAGAAAATAATGAAAAACAAACGATCTAGCTAGAAAAGTAGCAATCACTTCACTAACTCGACCAGAACCGTTCTACTTCTTGGAAAGTGAAAACCAAAGATATTTAAACTCGGGAGATACAATGATCCATTCATAAAACGCTCCAAAGCTTCATCACACATTGGTTTGCGAAAATCAACGAGTGCAAGGGAGAATGGATAGAGAAGGAAGTAGGGGTATCTGCTCGATGGCAACAATATCTTGTTCCAAACCTTGTTCGTCTCGGGCGAATGAGATTCCCTCTATTAGTTATTTTAACCTAATAACACAATATTTTATATATAAAATAATAAAAACTTTATTATTATATATATATGAATTTTAAAACTACAATAAAAAACAGTGAATAAAATTTAAAATGTGCCTTATAATTTTTATTAGTTCACAATTGTACATTAATGAGGGAATAAGAAGTAAGAAAATTCAACATTTATTTACCTTAACTTTCATTTTAGGGATGTTTCAAACACAGTAAATCAGAACTGAAAATATAAGATGTATATTATACCCTATGATCGAATAAAAACGGCGTCAGCGATGGCTATGAAATGAAGATCGCTGTCATTTTATATGTAAATTTATATAGGAAATGCCATCGATCGTCATTTCCAAGCCAACTGGACGCCGTTTTTATTCGATCATACGGTATGTAGGTATATATCTAAACAAAATTATTTGATATTATAATACACAGTCATCAGAAAAGTCTAGCGATAATTTTACAAAATCATAAATAAAATAAAATGGTGATTGTTTAGTACACGGTTCTTAGTTTAAAAAAATATTTAGTTTTTTTTCTCTTGTTTGCAAAGAAAAATTCATATTGTTTATAAATAATAAAAAGTACATGTGCAAAGAATTTCAATACAATAAAATGTAAGAAAGTCATAAAATTCATGTAATAAGAACATTAATTATATGTATGTCAAAAGATGTCCATTTACATTATAGCAATCAAAATTTAAAACAAAAGCCGTATAAAATTCTAACGGCAACAAAAAAAGTAAGGCCGCAAAATTCCATCTTTGGTACACCCCAATAAAATTTTCACAAAAGGTAGGTAATGGTTTGTCAAACCCAAGTAGATACCTAGATTAGATTTATTCTTATAAGAAAGTACGGTTTTTCGAAAATAGATGTTGTTTACAAATTACAGGCGGTTTATAGAACTTAAATTTAATTTTTAACATTCAATACCCTTTCTTAAAAAGGAAACAGAAATTGTTATTAACTTATTGGTAATTAGTATGTACCATGTACCTTTTTCCTACAAATAATTAAAATTAATAAATATATAATTTAAAAAACATAATAAATATATGATTTAAAAAATAAACCTAAAAATGTAATTTAGAGATCTGCTATTTTTTATGTCTAGGTACGCCTCTGATCTACAGATATAAAATAAGATATAGTAATATACCTAACCCTACTTATTTGTATTTACCGGTGAAAAGTTAAATTTGGATTTAAATGATACACTCTCTTGTACACAATACATGAATGCACCATATTTTCAAATTAATGTCCACAGAAGTCCACAAATTAACGCAAAAATACTATAATACTGCAAATAAAAAATATGGAGCTTGATCGGCGGCATAGCAACATCGCAAAAGGAGAATCTAGGATTTTCCATTCATCCTCGAAATACGTGGTACTACGCCGGCATATTTCTAAAACTGACGTTGCCAAACTGCTTGTTATTATTAAAAGAAACACGACCATGATATTTTTATTCCATTATAAAATTTAAAATAGTAAAGCAGTTAAGCAAATGAAAAAATTGACGTTGGCAAATTAATGTAGTTGACATATTACAAAAATATAACGAAATTATTTATTACTTAATAATTGGTTGTGGTATTTAATCAAATACTAATACCAATATACAGGTAAATCTGGTAAATGTTTTCGGTGTAAGAGAGATGGGAAAATAAGGATAGAATAATGGCTGATGAAGGAGAAAGATAAACAATTGTATCTCTTGAGTTTAAATATCTTTGGTGAAAACCAACTTATAGAGAAACTCAAGAACCTGGAAGGCTCCATCAGTAACCTGGAATAGCAATCCTCCAACGGTCTAAGACACTCAAAGGAATTTCTCAGAACTTACTACCGAGAAGAATCAAATATTTTTCTCGTTTTAAGTAAGAACAATATTCGGAGTATCACGGAGTTTTTAACAGGACACTGTCTCGTCATTGAATATCTCGTAGATTGAAGCTAAGAAACAATGGCGAATGCAGGTTCTGTGAGAAAATGGAGAAAACACCAGAACACTTCATCACTGGCCGAGATGACAACCATTCGAGCTATAAAGTTTGTTACGACTAATATCGGAGATGTAGAACTACAACCTCTGTAAAACCGCCTCAGATACTGGCTTTTGTCAAAGCCCTGAGACTGTATGATAAGTTATAACCAGTTATAACTCAAGAAAAGGGGGGACATAATTGATCTATAAAGCGCTTTGATTTAATAACTTCCCTTTTTCATACAATCTACAATCTACACTACCAAATTTCAAAGAAAATGATTTACAAATGAGGCAACCAGCGCAAAAACGGCCTAATCCACTAACCAGAACATTTAAGATGGATGATATTTATTTTATTAAATTCATTTTGTATCTAAATTGCTTCATTAATAGTTTTCGTGCAATTATTTATAATTAATTATATAATTATTATTAACATAATAACCTAACCTAACCTTACAAATAATTTCATAAAGAAAAACGGCCTAATCCACATTTTTTAATAATCAACATTTATTATATATACAGGGTCCGGCAATAGTGCGTCGGGCATCTGTAGCTTTTAGAATAAAAAACTTGGGAATTTTGTTTAAGTGCAAACCTAAAGTATATACTAGGATGCATTTCAGGAAAATATTTTAACTTCTATAGGGTGGCTCAAAAAAGTATGAGTGGATCGGGATGAATTTTTTTAAAATGGAACACCCTGTATATTATTGCATTTTTGGCTTCCTTTCAGATCACTTTACATAATCCTAAGACATGAATAAGTATATTTTGATAATTTCAGAGATATTAATAAATAAATAAAAATTATATATTTTTCAGCCTTTCTTAAAAAAAATATTAATAATACAAGAATGGTCCTGAAATCAAAACTATATTAGATGTTTACTTTAGATGGTCTGTACTTACTTTGTTATAAATATGGAAATCGTAAATCATACAGGATGTTCAAAATTCTACGGCAAACTTTCTAAAATATAAAATAATTTTACTTCGTTTTTTTTAAATGGAACACCCTGTATATTATTTTTTCAATAGATGGAGAATTAAAAATTGAACATTTTTTGTATTTAGAGTATTTCAAAATTTTAACGGTTTCGAAGATATTCCCGGTTTTATATTTCATATGGCATTTTCCACAGTAAATTTTTATCAAAGCCACCCAATGATTTTTCTCTCGTATTTTACCACTGAAAGCGCCATATGAAACAATACTGCGTGTAGCCGGAAAACTATTAAAAATTTTGGAATACTTTAAATACAAAAAATGTTAATTTTTTCATTCTCCATCTAATAAAGAAATAATATACAGGGTGTTCCATTTAAAAAAACGAAGAAAAATTATTTTATATTTTTGAAAGTTTGGCGTAAAATATTGAATATCCTGTATGATTTACGATAACCATATTTATAGCAAAGTAAGAACAGACCATCTAAAGTAAATATCTAATATATTTTTGATTTCAGAACAGTTCTTATATTTTTAATATTATTTTTAAGAAGGCTTGAAAAATATATATTTTTGATTTATTTTTTAATATCTCTGAAACTATCGAAATAGATTTACTCATATCTTAGGATTATGCAAAGTGATCTGACAGGAAGCCAAAAATGCAATAATATACAGGGTGTTCCATTTAAAAAAATAATCCAGATCCACTCACACTTTTTTGAGCCACCCTATAGAAGTTAAAATATTTTCCGGAAACACATCCTGGTACATACTTTAGGTTTGCACTTAAACAAAATTCTCAAGTTTTTTATTCTACGAGCTACAGATGCCCGACGCACTATTGCCGGACCCTGTATACTTATGTTACTTCCCCTAGGAGATGCAAGACCTTGTCTTTGGTGGGGAAGCTCCTGGTCAGGTGCTGGGGGGAATCCCCCTAGCGTCTGGCTTGGTCTAACAAGCATCTTACTCATCGTCTTGTCCCTGGCTGTAGTGTCGTGGCCAGGGAATTGCACCAAGACATATAACGATGCCGGACGAGGCTACCCCCTACCTGTCAGTCATACCAGGAACCCTCTACTGGCTGTGGTCATATCTCGCGGGTAGAGTGTGTGGGGGGGCCTTGGCTTAACCGCCTGGACCAAGAGGAGACAACCTCACCAAAAACCTAAATCCTGCGATGGCGGGACCAGGTCAAAGGGATGCGTGGCTAGATAGAGGACTAGCCATTACTGGCCTCAACCTTGGGGCATCAGGGGGCACCCCATTGTATTTACCCCTTACTTCTACATGCGGAGCTCTGTAGAAGTGGACCGACTATCCCTAGCGACTCGTGGGAACACTATGAGATCTAGCATTAAAAACACCACCGGTGAAGCTGTGGGGAAGCCCCCTAGCGACGACTGGGAACATTACAAATGAAAGTTCCAAATCCAAGGAAACTACAAAAGAGGCGGCTGACACTTGCTTGGGATCATCCTCCACAAGTGGCACATAAGCTACTACCTTCTCCAGCAAGGGTCGGGAGCCTACCTCTTGACCCAATAAGCGACACAAGCTACCGTTTCGTCTACCCGGCCTGGGTCAACCAGGCGGGCTAGACGATCCTCTGAAAGTAGGTCTTAGCGGAACAGAAGCACGAAGATACCTCCCACTGCTCCACGAAGGACTTGCTCCAGCGGAAGCAAAAGCGAAAACACTCCTCCGAAAAGGGAAGAGTAGAGAAACCAAGAAACAACCTGACTCATCCCCATCAAAAGGTAAGAGAGGGAGAGAGAACCTCTCACCTCTTCTTCGGCAGGGAGAGAAAATAGCCAGGATGGAAAGCCATACCACACCGGGAGGCAAGCAGGGACGTATCACCAGCTTTGCCGCTATTGCTGGACAAGTGAAAATGGCGATGCTGCCAAAGGATTTCCCAGGGGTTGCTCTGACCACCGACCAGCAAACGTCTCTAGAAGAGGTTATACTGGACGAAGTAGTGGCGATCGGATCGCAACACAACGATCTACAAAATGTGGGTCAGCTACGTTTTGCGGGGATACACTTCAGATGGCATGATCCTCATAGATTGTGTATCTCAAGAATCTGCGAATGGGTTGGTGGAAATCGCACCTAAGCTTAAAAATTGGCAAAGGCCGAAACTGGTTGCAGTGAAGAGAGAAAACATCCCTAAAGGAGCGGCCATCACGGTCTTTCTGCCGAGGAGCAATGAAAAGACACCACCTACCTGCTGAGCCTTATCCAAGGTCAGAACTTCAATGTAAGGACATCGAGTTGGCGAGTCATCAACTCGAGGGAGGAGGGTCATGGCCAGGTCCTCACAATAATAATTGACCTCAAATCCAAGGAGGCAATAGAGAAAGAGAGGGACATATCCTCTATTATAGATACGGGACAACACCGGTATCAGGTCTAAGGAGAGATCAAGTTAAAGAGGTGAAGAAAATGGAGACAGATCCTCCAGCCTCCACCTCACGGGTTCCTCAGCCGGAGGCAAGCTCCTCGACTTTGAAGGGCGGCACGGAGGGCCAAACTCCACCGTGCAAGGGTGTGTACCCTCGAAGAAAGAACTGTTGTCAGAGGAGGATGGGAAATATCCTGTCCCCTCTACAACAGGGGTATGATGGGTTATAGACTGTGTGATGACTCAAGGAAGGGGGGCACAATAGATCTTTAAGGTCGCAGTGAATAACCCCCCTCTTACTCATTCTACATTCTACTTATGCTAGGGTTGCCAACCGTCCTCTACTACAGAGGACAGTCCTTTTTTGATCTCACTATCCTCTTTTCTCTCGCGTATTGAAAAGTCCTATTTTTTACATACCAAACTCAAAATCTAACTAATATTTGTCTATCGCCATAATGCTTTATAAGATTGTTAATCTGTGTCTTTTGCTACTCCCACTTGTTTGTACAGAAGATAAAATGAAGAAATATTAATGTATGTACAAGAAGTACTTCTGGAAGAGCTAAACATGTTTAACTATTTTATATTTACTTACTGTAAGCTTTTTGAAAAAAGTTTTGTTGAAATTAGTTTGTTTTATTTTAATAAGTTTTGAGTATATTTTTTTAAGAAAGTAAGAAAGACCGTGCATACCGTTTACATAACTTTTTGGTAAATTCTAGACATTTGGGCGAGGTTTGAAAAAACGTTTTGCCTGTACCTCTTTTTTATCCCCCCGTCCTCCTGGTAAGTAATGTCTATATTATTAAAGTAACTTATGTCTAAATTTTAGTTCATTAGGTCCTCAGACAATAATATAAAAATTGTTCGGAAATTAAACTAATAGCGCTATTGTCATTAAACTTTATTTCAAGTTTTCTCAAACGCATTTTGTCTCGCATTTTGGTATTAGGCCGTTTTTGAGCCGGTAGCCTCATATATTCAAACGAACTTTTTGATTTATTTTTATCTGATGTAGTGTCACCCACTAAAGTTTGTTACACTAACTGTTTTTTACACTCTGCAAAACAGAATGATAGGATTACAAATGAATATATGTATAAGTAAATGTGCAATAAAAAGATAAGAAGTTAATTATGTAAACTTAGTGAATCCAAGTTCCAAAATTACTGAAATACTCTTAAAAATATATAGGTACATAGAAAAAACAGGGAAGTAGTTAAACCAACAACAGGTGCTGAAAAAAGTCATTTTAGAAAAATTGGGTTAGAAATATTATTCAAGGAGCCAAAGTGGGACATGAGACTGTTTTTACCTGGTATATTATCCTTACCATATCTCTCTGACTGTCTAAGAGTTACACCTAAGAATGAAAAGATAATGTTTGATAACATATTCATGAATCAAAAATAGTTTTTACTCTTTCCTGATCTGAAACTCTGTTTGAAATTTACTCTATTTATTACTTTAAGTATTTTTTTTTCTAAACTTAAAATTTACCTGGAACTTTAGAACTGAACGCATCATTCCTTCCCACCACATATCTGTTGCACAGAATTGGTGTTTTAGCCAATAAAGTCGGATCAACATCAACTTCCTTCTCTTTCTGTTGATTTTCGTACTTTTTCCTGTCTAAAGAACCACCACGTTGACCCACAGAGTTCTGTCGGTGATTTCTATCTTTGGCAGAAAATTTTCTGGATGGTGCTGACGATTCTGTAAACCGGTTTGGACGGCTCGGAAGACTGGAACCTCTTTGGTGTAGTGGAGTAGATCTGTCAAAATCGTCTGGATATCTAAAAGATTTATAATAAAATTATTATACTAATATTTTATAACTTTTCTTTAAAAGATAAAGTCAAAATATTAATATGTAGTGATGAGAGCTTTGGGATGAGAGATGCGTCTTGTGGTTTTGGTTTGGTTAACTCACTTTAATTTGTATGTTTTGAGCCAGAATTGAAGACATCAGCCTTGTATTAAAAATGGAATAACCTCATTACTCTTTCTTAAACTTGAAATAAAAATAAAACACTTATCAATAAAAGTAAATTACATTAGCAGAAAAGAGTCCTCCTATTCTGGGTGCCAGCTCACTAATGGATAGAAGGCAATGAAAAAGCAAACGATGTAGCTAGAAAAGGAGCGAACACTCCACTAGCTGGTCAGAATCGTTCTGCTTTCCAAGTAGAAACCAACTTAAATCAGAAGTCTGGGGGGGTAATGGAATGCTCCAACGGTCTAAGACACGCGAAGAAATTCTTTAGGACTTACGACTGAGAAAAATTAAAGATTTTCCTTAATCGCAAGGAAATCTTCGGATTATCACGGAGTTTTTAACATTGACACTGTCCTTTCAATGAAAACCTCAGTAGAATGAAGCTAAAAAAACAACGGCGAATGCAGATTCTATAGGGGAAATGGGGAAACACCAGAATATCTCATCACACAGAGTGAGAGATGGAGAACTAGCCTCTGTAAAACCGTCTCAGATACTGGCTTTTAACAAAGTCCTGAAGGGAGGAAATCCCCAGCGTAAAATCTACTATCGTTGATTGAAAACCAAACCAATCCAATTCTTTCAATCAACGCTACTATCTAATCTACAAGTTACATTAATGCAATGAATAATAAAATCAAAATCAGGAATGTATATTTATATTACCTTAATTCTGTATCAGAATGATAACTGGGCATAATGTCAGAAACTCCATATCCACTATCAGCTGATTTTCCAGATGTTCTAACAGATCTACGAAAGGACATTGTCGACCTGGATCTAACAAACCTAGAACTAAAATTAATATACTGGAAAAAAATCATTGTCTTCCAATCGTCATCAAAAGAATGCCCTCAGAATTTAAAAAGTAAATGATATTAAAGTTGATGAAATTCTTTTCTTAATGTTCTTCCTTTGTTGTTGTTTATTTTTGCAGATTGACGTTCTTGTTTTCTAACAATGTTAAATGGTTTCTATTCGGCACTAAACTAACTCAGTTTTAATTGTTTGCAGCTTCAAACCAATTTAATAGCTTTAGCAACTGAATTTCTCTATAACAGGTGCAAAATATTGCACAACAAAGTTAGTTAATAGGTTTTCAGGTACTCCACTCCTTGTTATAAATGATTTTTACACACAACACGTTCCCTAAAAGATTTTGAGGAACTAATTTAGATATAAATTTTAATGTTTTGAATTAAGAGTTTTTCCAGGTGTGTTTTTCTCTTTTAAATATGTTTTACCTTGTAAAATAGATTATTTTTTTAAACTAACTCTTAGTGGAACATAAGATAATCTACCTACATGTATATGTTACAGACCATATGTGAAAACAGACTGTATATGCAGGGTGAGTTTCCTACGATGTTCTCTATTTCTCTATGGGTATCTCGGAAACTACTGGAGATAGAGAGTCGGTTAAATGGGAAATTGCAGTTTTGTGGGGTCATAAACATACGCCTTTCAGATTTCGGAAAAAGTCCATGGCTTACAAGATATTTCGAAAAAAACAAATTTCGGCTATTTCAAAAATTGTCCCTAATTCCATTATAATCTCTTTTAGACAAAAAGTTTTCAGATAAAAGTTGTAGATAATCACATCCTTAATGAGTTTGTGTTTTTCCTTTTTTTCCAAAGCCTGTCATTTTTGACATATGACACAAACATATGTTTTTTTAAATGGAAACCATAGTTGGCCATAACTTCATAAAAAGCGCAATTTTTTAAGCTTTTCAGCGATATAATCTATAATATGTTATAGCCAATTCTTAACATTTTTAAACAAGTTCACTTAGTTAGCCATGGTAACAAGTTCAATCGTTGTTGTTCTCAGTAATGTGAAACTGTCACATCCAAACTTTGTAAATTAAAATAAACAAAAATTAAAAATTGTAAATATGATTTCAAGTGAAGAAAAGCATGTAGGATTATTGGTTCAACTTTTCTTGACCATACGTTTTCGAGGATACGTTGACCGGTAAACGTTACTTAGTTTTTAGAAAAGTTAAATTTAGATACTCGCATATCCATAGAGTGGTTCTAACATGACTTTCATTATGACACTCCCCCTCATAATGAAAGAAATGTTAAAACTTATTTATATCATAATTATGCAAACTCAGGGATAGGAAGAGGTAAACCAATTGCAGGGGCCTCCTCGATCACCTGACCTATCATTTTAGATTTTTTTATGCGGTATGGTTAACAAAAGAACTTATAAATTAAGAGAGGCATTCGAAGAGGCGGTACGGGAGAAGTTAATTAAAGTCGACCAGCCGTTCTGTGGGAAAAGCATGTAATTCAGTTTTAAAAAGATGCATTTTATGTACTCAAAACTCAAAACAATGGCGGTTTTTTGAACATTTGCTAAAATAACTTAAAGTGTATGTATTGATATTAGTTTTTTTTTAAGTTTTAGTTTTTCTAATGTAAATTGTAAAGAACCATTTAATAAAATAGTCTGTCTTCTTATAAGTTATAAATCATAACAGAATAAGAATACCATGCCAAGTAAGTGAAATTAGTAAAGAAAGATAAGAATTGGCTATAACTCAGTAATTTTTCGAAAGAAACATAGTATAGCTTATATCGCTGCAAAGCTTAAAAAATGACGCTTTTTATGAAGTCACGGCCAACTATGGTTTCCATTTAAAAAAACATATGTTTGTGTCATATGTCAAAAATGACAGACTTTAGAAAAAATCGGAAAACACAAACTCGTTAAGGATGTTATTATTTACAACTTTTATTTGAAAACTTTTTGGCTAAAATTGATTATAATGGAATTAAGGACAATTTTTAAAATAGCCGAAATTTGTTTTTTTCGAAATATCTAGTAAGCTATAAACTTTTTCAAAAATTTGAAAGGCATATTTATGCCTCCACAAAACTGCAATTCTTTCCCCATTTAACCGACTCTCTATCTCCAGTAGTTTCCGAATTACCCATAGAGAGAGAGAGAGAGAGAACATCGTAGGAAACTCACCCTATATATGACATGGTTTTTGCCTACGAGATCTGACTATTTATAACTACAAATTTGCACGAAAGAGCTTTGAATGCGTTGGTTTTAACTTCTTTGGGGATATTTTTAACTTCTTGGAGGGATATGGGGGGGGGGGATATTTTTTTTGTTTCAATACGAATCAGATGATTGACATAGGTATCAATGCACAGCCGAAACCGCTTGACTTAGAAGCACGACATTTGGAACATACGTTCCTTGAGTGACTCGGTAAATGAGTATTCAGGGATTTTTGGAAATTTGACCTCTAAGCGTGTGAAATTAGGTATGAAAAATTGCATAAAAAATTGTTAAAATCTGTTCTAGGAGTATGAAATTTTGCATGGAGGTTCCTTGGGTAACGTAATTGAGACTCATTTGACCTGATGAGTGAATCTTGTATACAAAAAAAATAAAATCTGTCCTAGCAGTATCAAAATTTGCACAGAGATTTCTTATATTGCGTGATTGAACAGGTAGAAGCGATTCTCTGAAATTCGTCTTGTAAGGGGGTGAAACTGGGGGTGAAATTTGTATGATTTTTTTTTTAATTAGTACAGAGGTCCCTTAAGTGACGAAAGTGAGTACTTGGAAAAGACTTTTTTTGAAAATTTATCTCTTATCTTTTTCTCTTAAGAGGGTAAAAGTAGGTACAAAAATTTGTTAAAATCGGTAATAGAAGTAGGTATGAAATTTTGCACAGACGTCTAGACATTCCTTAGGTAGCACAATTGAGCACTACAAAGCAATTTTTGGAAATTCGCCCTCTAAAGGCAGGCGGCCACTGCGAGCGAAACTAAAGAAAGCTAAGAATATAGAAAGAAACGGTAACTAAACGAAAATAAGCTAAGTCAGCTAAGTTAGCTGCGTTTTCGTATTGTGTCTCTGCTATCATAGAATTAATCGCTGTGAAAAATTCGCTGGAACCTGTCACGAACTAAAACGAGCGAAACTCTCTATTGAATCTTCGTTCAAATATTTTCGTTCAGTTTCGCTCAAATTAGTGATGGGCGGTTATTGGTAAAAAACCGGTTATAGGTTAACCGGAATTATCTTTCAAAAATAATAACTTGACAAAATTAACCGACACAAATTAACCGGTTATTCAAATAACCTAACCTAGCAAAACTAAATATTTAGTTTTCCTATAGGTTTACTTACCTCTACACTCCATAGGTCTACTTCAAATTTAGAAAATAAACTTAGTTAAATCGCATGATTAAATAGAGATTGTAGCAATGTAAGTATGTATATGTACAAAATGAATTTAAATAAAAATGCTAACCTCACTTTTTTGAGTAGACATGGATATGATATTAAAACTAGTAATTACTTAACGTTCAAACAAACCACACAACTCACAAGTTCTACAATCTACAACCAAGTTATTTTAATCAAATACCAAAGAAAAATAAGGAGACTGAATGAATAGATAATGAAAGATTATCTTCATTCATTACTTGAACTTTAATTTTGTATTCTTTAGTCTAAGCTTCAAGAGAGACTTCAAACTACATACTATAAAATATATTTACGGTGAAACGTGGGTGAAACTGGGCGAAACCATGGAAAACTTTTGAAGAACTGTTGAAAATCCGTTAAAGTCGGTTAAAATTTAAATATAGAATTTAGAGAATCTATTTGTAGTTAGGTTCGTATCACTTGGCTAGCTGGTGGCTAGTAGTAGTCTATGCCATTAGTACTTTGTTTTACGGCCTGACCTGTCAGGACCATTCGGCCGTTGTTTTGATTATTATCATGAGGGGTTCGCCTGATGCCTGATTTAATTTTGACATTTGATGTTTGATGTCATATATTTTCGTTTTGGGAGCGGGATCTCCCGTTATCGTCATAATATCTGGAAGATCCGCCGTTCGCTTCTTCGAAATCTTCGATCTGCCGTTCGCTTCTTCGAAATTTACGATTCAAACAGCTAATATTTAATTGTTACTTGTTTTAAACAAGTACGATTTTTTAAAAAATAACCGGCTATAGGTTATTGAACGTAATGCAAGGTTATTAGGTTAACTGGTGAAAAAAAAACTACCTTTAAATAACCGGTTATTTTAGAGGAAAATACCGGTTATTCAAAAAACCGGTTACTTTTGCCCATCTCTAGCTCAAATGGCCGCTGATGCATTTAAAAGTATGGGAGCTGATTTTTAAAAATCTTATCTTCGCTTGGCTTAGTTTAGTTTCGCTCGCAGTGGCCGCCCGCCTTAAGGGTGTGAAATTATAGGTGAATATTCTGATAAAAATCTGTCCTAGGAGTTTGAAAATTTGCTCCAGAGGTTTTGTAACTTCAGAAGCACAAAATTTAAAGAATTTTTTTTGAAAAATTACCCCGTTGCGTTGGCGGGGTAGGGAGTGAAAAATTTATTACATCTGAGTCTAAAAACGTATAAAATAATAAATTAAGAAAGGTTTTTAATGAGCACACTACAAAATATCAATCAATTCAAATAAGTGATTTTGTAAAAATTTGTTTTTAAATTTACAGTCAGACGACCTGAAATTCGGAATGCCTGATTTTTTGTTAGCCGCAGCCCATAAAGGGAATTTATAAGAAATTCGAACTTTAACATTGCATAAGATAAGCGAATATTTAAATATGATCGTAAATATTAATTTAAGAAACTATAAGTTGACCGGCTGGTACTGAATAGTCTGTGGTGTTGCCATAAACGACGTTAAATATCGAAATTAAAAAACTTGTCATGATTTTTCTTCTTTAAGGGTACTTTTTCAACAATGTGAAATGAAAATATCAATTACAGGAATAATGTAATTATTATTGAAATGAAATTGGTTCTTACTCGTTTCTAGGTGGCGCTCTAAACGATCGTGTTCTCTGCTTCTTTTTAGGTTTCTTTTGACAGGCATAACAACAAACTCGCCAATACAAAAACCGAAATGATGTCGCCATAATATCGCCTATATTTGACAAACATAGCAGCATAAGGGGAATTCCTAGGATTGCGTAAAAGATAGTCACTACTTTGCCCCAGTTGGTTTTAGGCGTTATATGACCATAACCTGGAAAAGAAAAAAAAATAGTTAACTCAATAATTAGTGCTAATTTATATTTTAATGTTTTAAATTTGACTCAAAATACTAAATTTGCGGTGTCAAATTTCAAATTATTCTTAAAAAATGCTTTTTTCAAATATGCTAACGAACCGCCTCTGTTCCATTTGAAAAAATTGCGACATGATTAAAAATACTGTTTGGGCATCTTTTAACCGGCCACGAGAAGACACGAAAAACATTAAACTAATCAAATTTATTTTTCCAAGAATAGGATTTGATTAAAAATTAGTGTTTTTAACACAGCCATGGCACTCTAGATTGAAATTTTAAAAACGGTTTTTAAACGAAAATGTCAAAAGTTGACATATAATATGCCATTCTATTCAGAGTGTCATTTTCTATAAAATAGATATATACCGAGGGTGCCATTTAAAAATCAAAAGTTGTAGGTGGTAAAAACCAAAAACGGTAAACTAATAGGATTGCTCATCCTCATAAGACGTACGTTCACCTCTTCCCGCCCTTCAGCTGACAGTTGTGACGTCATTGTAGTCCTCGTCATGATAGTGTGTATTATTAGTTGCCTTGGCAAACTTATAAAAATAACAGCTGAGAAATTTTGAGTTAATTATTTTGTCAATTTTAAATGTGAAAAAGGTGTTGTTAAAGATTTTAGAGCTATAGAGTTTTAGTTTTCGTTTAAAAGGTGAAAAGTAGTCTAATCTTCCTAGAAATTTAAAAAAAAAAAAAAAAAAAAAAAAAGTGTAAAGATGGGCAATTGCAAGATCAAGTCTTGGTCTTGGTCTTGCTTAAGAATCTTGCAAATTATGGATTATTTTAATAATTTTCACTAGATGCACTTTCTACGCAAGACCGCAAGAGTCTTGAATGCTTGTTCATGATCTAGGTCTTGCGGAAGTCTTGCACTGGTAGCATAAGAAAAAGTAAGAGCAAGACCGTAACAAGACCAAACTCGCTCATTACTATTTAGTAATTTAGTACTTGAGAGAAAAATTCTGGAATATGAAAAGAAAAATTAACATTCCAAGTATAACTTTTGACCACCAGATACATTTTACACATGTGTATGTATAAACCATGTAATTAATGATCTTTTTATTTTCATCTACTGATTTAACAAGTAAAACACGCAACATAAATTTGTATACCCATACAACAAGTCATTTAATTTCGAACACACACATATAAAAATTTAAATTAAAAATACATATTCTCTCTCTCTCTCTCAATTCCAATTGATGAAAAAAAAAGAAGGAAAATAAAACAATGATTCGTTAATTCGACAGGTATTTTACGTCGACATTGACCGAAATTCGGACCGTCTCAAATTTCGTCCTGTCATTGTACCGGGACGATGGTCATTTTGACTTTGTTTCTGTCTGGCAATCGAACCGACTATTTGGGTGATTCTCTTCAAACTGTTTAAAAAATATATGTTTTCTCAAAGTAACCAGACGTCTGATTATGCTACCTTAGAATAAATTAAGAAGTGAAAGCAAAATGATACTAGAATAGATTTTGAAGATTTTTCCTAGTTTAACAGACAAATTATTATTAAATTTTGTTTGTCTTTTAGGGACTAATGGTCATAGAGAAGGAATATTTACAGTTACAAGTTTACAGGAATATTTACAGATCAATAAGTTATAGGCACACACAGCCGAGGGAAACTAAGCCTGTCGGGGGCCCGCACAGTGCTTCGCCCCATGGACAAAAATCGAAAAAAAAGTTAAAATTTAATAATATCTGAATATGTAATTTTATACTTATAGCAATGTTCAGCCATCCTGTATATTATTTTTCATATACAGCGTTTTTTGTTAGCAAATATTTTCACTAAAAATTAATTTTGCGATCATTATCTTATATCAGTGAAAAGAATAGCATTCATAGTAGTTCTGTATATGGAGTTAAACGGTACGTACTTAATTGAAAGCCACTATGGATATTGTTAAACAAGGTATGTACTTTAAATTTATTTCTAAACAAGTTCGTGATTGTTTAGTTTTTATTTATTTTTTAAGATGATTCTTAAATGGGTATAAAAATTTTACGTTTTCAAACTTCAAAAAGGCATTTAAAAAAAACATATCAAAACATATCGTATTTATTGAATATTTGTGTTGTCATATTCATACACTTTTAATTTTTGTATAGTTCACCTGCGTCTGCTTGCGACGAACTTTATTTTATAATACTTTTCAGATGGAGTAAAATTGATTAGCAATGCCGATCTGGTTAATACTTGGCTTGATCATAAGGACAAGAACTCAAAATTATTTGTATTTCAAAAAATATGTTCTTTATTAGATATTGATGAACCTTCCAGTCAAATGAGACACCACTTGTGCCTGAAAAAGCCCACTATATTGGAGCGAAACATCGCATAAAAAAGTTTTCATCTTTCAATTTATTATGAAACCTCATACCCAAAAAAAGGAAAAAATAATATATGGATATGGTCTATTAAAGAGGTAATTAACATCCGAACCCCTCATACCAACAAAAAGAACAGTAACTACGCGAAAAAGTAACATATTAGAAAATGATGTACAGAAATATCTTATATGTGAGGATATTTCATCTACCTGTGATTTGGGTACTATAAATTTGGAAGATTCTGTCAGCAGTGATTCTTCTGAATCAGAGTAGTTACGATCTATGCATTTTGTTGTCCTAAAGTAAATTTATAGTATCTTAAGTTTTCTTTTTAATTAAATATAGCATTAATGTTTCTTTTTCATTAAAGAAAAACATTTTTTTCTTATATTAGGCTTATATTGTAGGTTTGATTTGGTTTGTTATTTCAATTATTTTTTATCACAGGGATTTATTTAATACTTACAACGTTTTCATACTATAAATTATTATTTCCTTAGATGGAACACAGCTACAACATTTTTATTATTTATAAGATTTTTTTTCATAAACGTGGGACTAAGCACATCATCATTTAGTACAATGAGAGTACTCATCATTTGTGTCAAATAAACCTAGTTTGAATAAATTGCCTACAATAAAAAAGAAGTTTTGCATTTTTGTCCTCTAGAGCCATATGTTCGAAGCACTGTGGCCCGGGGCGGCGAAGCTAAATGTGGCCCCCGGTCTGTTCAGATAGTGATATACACAGGTGATATACTTCTAATGCACATTTTGTAAAAATTGAATGACGTATGGATAATGGTTGACCAAATTCAAGTATTTATACAGGGTGTCCCAGGCTGAGCCTGCATCCTGCATTTGAAGTTTCTAGAGAACTGCAGTATCTAGATATGGGATTTTGTGCATATGATTGTTTCACAACGAGATCTATCGATTAAAAATATTTTCAATATGGCGGCACTTTCGGAAGTACCGGAAGTTGACAGCAACTTTCTTATTTTAAATGGGTGACCCCATTTTTATTACATACTTAAATTCTCTGTAAATTTTATGAATTTTGATATTAAACACTCTATACCTAACGTTAACCGTTTTTGAGAAAAAAAATATTTATTATTTTTGGAGGAAAAAAAACTGCCTGTCAAAAATATGTATATAGCCTAAACGTCAAATTTAGTGATTGTCACAGCCACTCTACCATAAAGAGAAGACATGTGGCTATCTATGTCAAAAATTAATTTGTCCGAATGTCATATAATAATGGCCGCATCTGTCATGGAATTGAGCGATTAAAAAATAATCATAAATCATTTTTTTTTCAAATGGAAATCCACTTTTTGGAACTCGTGAAAAGGCTTTCGTTTTTAAAATTTGTTACTTTTTGACTATACATGTTCCTGTACCTAAAATAAATCGTTTTTAAGTTATTTAAGATTTAGCTTTAAAGCGTATATTTTTCTTGATTTTAACCAGTAGCCTATTACAGTATAGTCTGTCCAACGAGAAGATCCTTGACAGTGATAGATGTGTCTGTCATTTTAATTTCAAAGTAGTTTATTTTATTTTACAAAGAAATAAGTTGGTACAACTGGAACGCATAGCAGGAAATATTTAAAATTTGATTAACAAGATGACAAGTGATTACTTCAAAATTGTATAAAACTGAAAAAATGTAATCGAGTTATTTTATTTAATAAAAACGGTATGTGTTAATACAAAACAAACAAGAACAAGGCACTACATACCAAAAAAATATAAAAAATAACTATTATTTACTTTCAAGCTTTATGAAACTACCCGCATTTATGATTATATTTATCAATATAACTTATGTACAAATACAAATTTGTAATATTCCACAGGTATAAATAAAACAACATAGGTAAATACAACAACTATTTTATTAATAATAACACCTACCAAATTTTATACCTTAAAGGTGGATTAATTACCTTTAATCTTAATTTTTTTAAACCAGTACCTTTTGACATTATTTTTCTGCACCAGTACTAAAATCCATTATTTACCTATCGTGTGATGTCGATATTTTACAGCTACTCCAGTTTTTAGTATGTGTTTAGTTTGATCCTTATATACGAAATGCACTTATCTACGACGAAATGGTATACAAACTTTATCGATGGCAACTTCATTGGTGTATAAGACTTTCTGCCTGGGCAGCGTGTATTAACCATAAACTGTGCTCTGGGCCTACAGTTAATTTTCACTCGATTTTTCCTCCACTTGACTTCAAAAGACACAAAACACACGTAATAATACGAATCAAAATGCATCATCTTCCAAAACGCAGGGTATTTAACAAAAGTTGACACAAAATTATAACCTATAATTTGGCAAGACTTTGACAAGCGTCAAAAATGACAAAAATCTAAAGGCGAGTTCATATGCATCGGCGTCCGTTTGTCGTTCATCGTTCCGTCAAACCAATAAAATTGAAATACGATCTGTCGTTTTTTAAATAAACCAATAAAATTGGTTAAAAACAACAAGACACGACGTATGACGGATTTATATTTAAACCCATCCATAGATAACTTAAAAATGATTAGAAACTTTTTTTAGTAAAATAAATAGATTGGTAT